CAATATTATGGCAAAAAAAATTTGAGGAGATTTTAATCTCAAGGGAGTCAACAATGGGTTCATCGTCAGTATATTTTATAGTCTATGGCCTGAGTAGCAATTTTCCTATAGATTCCTATACGTAGCATACTTTTAGGCTCATAATAAATATCTAAGCTTTAGATTCTAAAGTCTCAAATAAGTTTCAAATTCAGACCAGATGTTTACAATTGGACTTTTTAGTACGATTCCGAATTCCGTCTCCAAACATGAGCAACTTTGTACATCCCTCTACATAAAATAAAAAAGGAAAACTAAAATTATGATCGAGAGAGAGAGAGAGAGAGAGAAATTTGTACTGAGTAATTGTTACTGGGAAAGTATACGAACGAAACGAATTCACACGACCGGTTTAAAGTGGCCCGTCAAAATCCATGACATGCAATTTTGTGATGTTAGTGACATTTCTTTTGTATGCGTTTGCGACGATTTTATACCCTACACCTCAAGGTGGTTAGGGTATCATGTCTTTGTGCATTTCTTTGTAACAGGCAAAAGGAAACGAGTTAGACCCATAGTTCCTTTTGATGATCTGCACAGAATGACATTCTGAGTGGATTTATGCATGATCGTCCGTCTGACTGTCCATGTATTTTTGTGACCAACGTACAGTTCGTATTTATTACCCGATCCAGATGAAATTTTGCACAAATCATTTGTTTGGCCCAAGGACGAACCCTATTGAAATTGGAGATAATCGGTAAAAATTCAGATATAGTTCCCATATATATCTTCGTCCGATTTGCGTTTTATTGTGCACTAAACGTGTATTATCAGCCCGAATAGTATGGAATTTTGCACATACAACCAAATTAGACCTAAAAATAAGTATGCCAAATTTAATAGAAATCGGTTCAGATATAGCCATAGCTCCCAAATATATTGTTCATCCGATTTGTTATTTTAGTCCTCCGCAGCCGTAATATACACTCTGTAACAACAATATTTGGGGAAATATATCAAATACAGCTCAGAAATACCTTTATCTAAATTATATCGAGATCGGTTCAGATTTGGAAATAGCTCCCATTTATAACTTCGTCCGATTTGCCTTTTATTGTACCCCAAACGTCTAATATTTGCCCAAATGGGATGAAATTTGGCACATGCGACCGAATTGAGTCTAGAAGCTAGTATATCAAATTTGGTGAAGATCGGTTCAGATATAGCTATAGCTCCCATATATATTGTTCATCCGATTTGTTATATTTGTTACCCACAGCCGTAATATGCACTCCGTAACAACGATATTCAGGGAAATATATGAAATTCAGCTTAGAAATATCTTTGCCAAATTTTATCAAGATCGGTTCAGATTTGGATATAGCTCCCATATATATCTTTATCTGATTTCAAATTAATTTTGCACCAAATGGTCAATACAAGTCCGAATTTAGAAGATACAAATGCTTCGGCATATTTAGTCCTTTGAACTTTAAATTATAATTATAATCATAGCGTGTATGATTGAATTCTCCCATAAGAAACTTTTAATTGTTATGCGGAGCTCTACTAAATTAGCAAAGTGGTGTAGGGTATCATAAAGTCGTCCCCGCCGTTCTCAGCACTTGGGCATGGCTCGGTCCACTTTACAACGGATTATTCGCATTGATTTGCATTTGTTCCCGTACAAAATTCAATTGACGCAAAGAATGTTGCCTGCGGACAAGCCTCGTCGATTGGAATGGGCCCAAAGGTCCGTCGAATATGGGCAACCCTGTATCTGGTACCAAAAAGATTATTTTTGTAGAGTGCATGCATGGAGACTTAAAACCCCAAATCGCATGAGACATATGTATAGGAGCTATAGCTATGTCTAAACCGATTTTCATCAAATGTGAAGTACACGTTTCTAGGATGAACTCGGTCGGATGAGCCAAAATTCAGGTGAACAATTAACATTTGCACATCTAGTGCACAACTAGCCTGAAATCACTTAAAGCTATATGTGGGAGTTATATCTAAATTTGAACCGATTCTCACCAATTTCAATATGGTACGTCCTTGCGACCTGCATTTTGTTTACAATAATGCATTGACAGATGGACTGCCATGCATAAATCGACTCAGAAAGTGATTCTATGAAGATCCTCAAAAGTAGCTATGGGTCTATCTCGCTTCCTTCCCCATGTTACAACCAAATGCACAAAGACATACTACTAGGTAGCGTAGAATGTAATGAATGCATGAACCATGTGCTCTAAAAGCTTCATGCACACGTACACGATTTTTATGTCATGCATTCTGACGTGTACGGGCCACTTAATGGGCCTTGTGAGCGAGTATCGATGTTAGTATGGGCTCTCACATTTTAGGCCCTCTCACAATGTAACTTACCATAGTCAAGATCATTTGTGTTGGAGACTTGTAATTAGAAGAGACTTCGTGTGCCACATACGTTTAATGTTTCTTCTTCTTGGTGGGGTGTATACCACCATAGTATGAAGGAAAATATCCATTTTATACCCCACAAATTGTAAATATAAAAAAACATTTTTCTATCGATATCTATCGATTTCCTCGTCGGAGGAAATCACTCTAGCTTTCGAACGGACTGGAGAAGGTAGCAAAATGTCGGTATTTTGATGATTTCAGCGACATTATAGAGCCGACGTGTTTCGAGTTTCGGATCTTAATGAATACTTCTACCAATGATGGAAAATTATCTATGCAGGTCCACGTCTTTGTATATCACACACATAACGGTACCTCCCTTTTTACGGTATTTTGATGATATTAGCGATATTTTTCAACGGAATTGTTTTAAGTTTCGTATTGGAAGATCTTAATGGGAATTACAATCAATATTTAAAGTTTAAAATGAATACTTTAGCCTAAGACAGAAAATTGTCTGAGCAGGTCCACGTCTTCGTATAGCCCCCATAAAACGGTACCTCCTGATATTCGGTACTTTGTTGATTTCAGCGACATTATTAACCGGAATTGTTTCAAATTTGGTATTTGAAGTTTGAAATGGATACTTTAGCCTAAGACAGAAAATTGTCTGTGCAGGTCCACGACTTCGTATAGCCCCCCTATAACGGTACCTCCCGATATTCGGTATTTTGATGATTTTAGCGACATTATCACCGGAATTGTTTCAAATTTGGTATTTGAAGTTTGAAATGGATACTTTAGCCTAAGACAGAAAATTGTCTGTGCAGGTTCACGACTTTGTATAGCCCCCCTATAACGTTACCTTCCGATATTCGGTGTTTTGATGATTTTAGCGACATTATCACCGGAATTGTTTCAAATTTGGTATTTGAAGTTTGAAATGGATACTTTAGCCTAAGACAGAAAATTGCAGGTTCACGTCTTCGTATAGCCCTCATAAAACGGTACCTCCCGATATTCGGTATTTTGATGATTTCAGCGACATTATTCACCAGAATTGTTTCAAATTTGGTATTTAAAGTTTGAAATGGATATTACAGCCTAAGACAGAAAATTGTCTGTACAGGTCCACGTCTTCTTCAGTCGATTCCGACATAATATCCAACCAAATCAGCTTAAATCTCACATTTCTTGTGTCCAAAGGTAGAATTTATGTTATTTCGTTTTTTTTTTTTCAATTATAAATATTAAATGTTCTTATTTTGGCCATAGCTTCCATTATTATTGAGTTTTTTTTTGCCTTTTTTAGGTTGTTCTAAATCTTTTTTATTATTACAACTTTCGAATTCAGTATGGCAATGGAAAATATAATATCTCCCTGCAGACAATTTCTAAAATAGATCCATTATTTGTTATTAGACCCATATGATGACACCCCCAGATTCTAGGGATTTTAGAAGTTTCAACAAAATCCAACTCTATATTATTCACCAGACCTTCCATGTAGCAGACTTTTCATAAAAACCTTCCTGAATCAAATCAATGTCCAACATGCACAGACAATTTTCTGTCATAGGCTGTAGTATACATTACGAACTTCAAATACCAAATTTGAAACAATTCCGCTGAATAATATCGCTAAAATCATCAAAGTAATGATTTTCGGTAGGTACCGTTATAAGACCTGCACAGACAATTTTCTGTCATAGACTGTAGTATCTATTAAGAACTTAAAATACCAATCTTGAAAAAATTCCGGGGAGTAATGCGCTAAAATCCTCAAAATGCCGAATATCGGGAGGTACCGTTATATGGAAGATATACGAAGACTTGGACCTGCACGGACAATTTTCGGTCATATACAGTAGTATCCATTTTGAACCTCAAATTCCAAATTTGAAACAAATCCGGTGAATAAATTCGCTAAAATCATCAAAATACCGAATATCGGGAGGTAACGTTATATGGGGGCTATAAGAACACGGGAGCCTGCACAGACAATTGCAGTCTAACGCTGTAGTATCCATTACGAAATTCAAATACCAAACTTGAAACAATTCCGGCGAGTAATGTCGCTAAAATCATCAAAATACCGAATATCGGGAGATGCCGTTATATGGCGGCTATACCACAACGTGAACCTGAATAGATAATTTTCTGTCTTAAACTGTACTACATATTACGAATTTCAAATACCAAATTTGAAACGTTTTCGGTGAATAATGTCGCTTAAATCACCAAAATACCGAATATCGGGAGTACCATCATATGGGGGCTATACTAAAACGTGGACCTACATGGTCCATTTTCAATACCAAAATTCCTATAGACATAATATACATTTGAGTAAAATTTTATCAACCTACATCCATTTGTTCGGAAGCTAGAGTGATTTCCACAGAGGGACAGACGGGTGAACATTGCTATATCGACATAGAATTTTATGCTGATCAGGAATATATATACTTTGTGGGGTCTAAAATGTATATTTCGAGGTGTTACAAACGGAATGACAAACTTAATATACCCTCCATATGGATGGTATACAAATGCAATCGCGATGAAGCCTCTTGTTATCTTAAGTCTTGCGCGAAACAAACAACCAACCAACAAAAACAAATGCATAGATTTATGTTTTTATTTTTACTCATAGTTATGTGTGTGTGTGCGATCTCCATATGTGTATGCCGGCATAACGAGAATGTCAAAAGCAAGTCTCAAATCCACTTCATTTACGACGAACTTTCTTCTTTGGCTTTCTTGTTTTCTGCCATTTTGGCATTGACAAAATTGAACAGAATCTCAGCACCTTCTTGATTGTTTTTCTTGTAGTAGGGCAATTCCGAGAGACGTTCAACCCAATCCTTTAGCTTGGGAAATTTCTCCTCTTCGATGGGGGCAAACAACATGCCAGTCGAGACGGAGGCCACACAACACAAATCGGCAATGGTCAAATGATCACCGCACAAATATTTGGAATTGGCCAAAGCCTTCTCCAGGCCATCGTAGGCTTTTTGCATGTAGGCAACTTTCTGGGGTTCGATTTCATGGTGGCCAAAATAGATGATGGGCTCCACCATAACTCGTACCCTGGGGAACAGATGGCCACAATCGAAATAGAGACGGGCATCCACTTCCATGCGTTTCAATTTGTCTTTGGGATACCAGGTCTCTTCGACGGCATATTTATCGGCCAGATACGAGCAGATGACATGGGAATCGGTAATGACCACACCGTCATCGTCCAAAACGGGAATTGTGTGCAGGGGATTTAATTTTAAAAATTCTGGTGTCAAGTGATCACCATCCTTTAAATTCATGGCCCTGCAAAGTAGACGAGGATTAGTAATTTAGATCGAGACGAATTAGTGTCAAATTTACCTCAATTCCAATTCAACTCCCAATGCGGCAGCTGTCAACAAAACGGCCCGGCATGGTGGACTACGTGGAGTATAGTACAAAACGGGTTTCTTCGACATGGTGTTGATCGGCTCACTAAACTGGAATATTATGCAGAGGGAATATTTATTTTAATATTTAATATTATCTTAGATTTTATTGTTTAATTTCAATTAAATAGTTTGGTGACAACCGGCGTGGTTGCTATTTGAAACATTTATTTTTCGTGTCCCATAAAAAAAAACTTGATTCCACCTAAGCTCTCGAAAGATAAGCCAACGCAGCGCCAGATCAACCAACCTTTCTCTGAGAAGAATAAATTCCAACTGATCGTGGAAACACGATGGCAATGGCATAAATCTCTGGAGCGAGAGAGAGAGAGTGAGAGAAAGAGAGAATAAGTAAGAAACGTTATATGAGCACACCAGAGATGGCAAATTAAAATTCTCAAAAGTACAAAAGCGGTACTTTTTGGATTAGATGGCCAGGCATTAAGCCAGGCATTCCAATAAAAAAAATAAATAAGTTCCACCGAGGGAATTGCCGTGAAAAATGGGATTTTGGGTAACTGGAGGAATTATCCTTAAGAAAGTAAATATCAAGAGGTGGTGTTAGGTCAAATAAAATTACACAGCAATATAGCGCCATAATTTTTACATTTTTATATCCTCAGCCATATGGCTACAGAGGGTATATGTCTTTTGATATGGCCAAAACGTGCCGCATCGAAATAATGGTTTTAGAACCTAGGTCTCTGTGGACCAAATCCATTTCAGGACATTTGGAGTCGATCTAGCGATTTCTGTTTGGCTGGCTGGTGCGCACGATAACTATCGAAGGAAATATCCGATTTGATCCTAAGTTTGTACATCGTTATATTATTATCAAACTTAGATCGAGTTCGGAAATGGACAATCCACTCCTTCTGGTACTTCCTACACAAAATATCGACATTTTCAAAGAAAATTATTTATTGCACAAAAAGAGAAAGGATTATCCGATTTTGCAAATCCTAATATTTTGATCAGTGCTATGCCAGGTGCGAAAATGGACAACATCGGTGCACTCCATCAAGTACCTCCCCCACAAAGGGTGAACATTTTGAATAATTTTAAGTCTTATAAAATGTGATGTAAGAGTCCTATTGTCTTCAAGTTTTACACATCTCAAAAATTTTATTAACCCAAGGTCTTGTGTGAAAATAAAATTTATCGGTCCGCTCTCTCAGGTACCTCCCACAGAAAATATCGAAATTTTCTAAGAATAAATTATCTGCACAGAAAGGCAAAAGATAATTCGATTTTTCTCCAACATTGCAAATCCCATTATTTGCGTCAGTGCTGCGTCAGGTGCGAAAATGGACAATGTCGGTTCACTCCATCAAGTGCCTCCATCACAAAGGGTCAAAATTTTGAATAAATACAACTGTTATAAAACAGCCCGATTGTCTTGAAATTTCATACATCCCAATGTTTTTATCAACCCAAGTTCTGGTATTAAGATGGAATATATCGGTCCGTTCCTTCTGCTACCTCCCCCACAAAAGGTAGAAATTTTCAAAAAAAAATATATATATTTTTGCACAGGAAAAGAAACGATTATCCGATTTTGTTCCAACTTTGCAAATCCTAATATTTCTATCAGCTTTCCAAAATACTCCAGATGCAATAGTCGAACGGATTGGTATCCGGAGATTTTGGTGGCCATTGTGGTCTGAAATTAACCGAAGAACCTCATTTTGTAACCATTCTTGGGTGGCGAGTGCTGAGTGCAGGGGTTACAGTGCTTAGAAGAACATTTAGTATGGATTTTCAGACAATTCCATTGGAAATTGTGGCTAAAATCATAAAAATACCAATTATCTGGGGGTATCGTTATATGGCGGTTATACGATCTGATGGACCGATATAGCGCATTTTCAAACTTGACCTGTCTGAAGACAAAATACTGATTTGTGCAAAATTTTAGCTTCCTATCTTAATTGCTTTTGACTCTAGCGTGATTAAAATAGACACGGGCGGGCGGACAAGGCTACATTTTCTTAGAGTTTTACGCTGATCAATACACTTTGTTGGGTCTAAAATTATTATTTCGACGAGTTCCAAACAGAATGATGAACTTAATATACCTTCAATACTATGTATGTATATATGGTGGAGGGTAAAAAACCTCTTAAAAAGCACCAATGCATTCCCAGCTCATTGCAACAATATTTATAAGAATAACACAAATGCGCCTTAAAGTATGCTATGTAACTATGGCTTAATTTAACAGGGAGACCTAATTTAATTACGTATTCTTTGTTATGATGATACCGTGTATATCTCAATTAATTGGCGTGGCACTTAAAATATTTAATCATATAAAAATCCTTTTCTTTTCCAAGGCAAATATATAACATTATTGATTACATTACTATATTTAAAAAAAATAAATAAATAATTTTGCCTATTTGTTTTGCAAGGCAACTTTGCGTATTTTTTATATTTTATATTTTCCTTGGAATTTAAACCGATTCCCATGCTTAATAATTTTTGAACAAAAATTGGAAGATTTTCAATTTCCTCAAAAATTTTTCCACTTTACCGAATGGCCACACACACACTCCATCAAAGATTGAAAAAAGCGTTGCTTACAATTCCATTGACAATTATTTAATTTTCAAAAGGAAAATTTGATGCGAAGAAAAAACGCAAAAAGAAAAACCCCAACAAGCGGTCGGGCGGTCAAACGTTATGTATGAATTTTCATACTTTCGTCCTTGCACAGAACTTGAGTAAATATATTTCTAATTGGTTTCCAGGATTATTCAAGGATAACAGCAATTGAGTATTCAAGAGTTTTTTTTGTTTGGTTTTCTGCAAAAGATTGTAATCCATCAATTAGTGTCAAGGGGTTAAGATGGGGTGGCAAAGTAGACTGTGAATTGAAACGTAGCAGAAATATTGACGTTGTGTGTGTGTGTGTGTTTGAAAAACAAAGGCCACAATTTAAATCAATGGCCAGAATTCGGTGTGAGTTTAAGGATTGAAAATTAAATTATACAAAAACAAGTAATAAGCTGTAAGTTCGGCCGAGCCGAACTTTGAATACCCTCCACCATTTGGTACAAATTGAACAATTTTTAAAATAAAAAAAATCCGTTAAAAATTCTGTTAAAATCTTAAAAATACCGAATTTAGCCGTATTTTAGGCTCTATACGACGATTTGGACCTGCCTAGGTAACTTTTGTCACAAGCTATTACAATATTCAAATGCGAAACTTGAAAAAAAATCTATATATAATGTTGCTAAAATTATCAAAATATCGAATATAAGGAGGTACCATGGGGGTATAAAACGTGGACCTGCACAGGCAATTTTCTGTCATAGACTGTAGTATCCATTACGAACTTCAAATACAAAATTTAAAATAGTTCTGGTAAACAATGTCTCTAAAATCATCAGAATACCCAATATCGGGAGTTACCGTTATATGGGGGCTACACGAAGGCGTGGACCTACATAGCTCTTTTTCTGTGTTGGGATGTAGTATCCATTTCGAACTTCAAATACCAAAGTTGAAACAATTCCGGTGAAAAATGGTGCTAAAATCATTAAAATACCGAATTTTAGGAGGTGCCGTTATATGGGGGCTATATGAAAACGTGGACCTACATGGCCCATTTACGAACTTAACCTCCCTACTGGAAAAATAAACACGTCGTTCGAAAGATAGCGTGATTACAACAGACAGGCGGACATGGCTAAATCGACTTAGAATTTTACGTGACGGAAAATTATCTGGCCAGGTCTACGTCTTCGTATTGCCCCATATAACGGTACCTCCCTATATTCGGCATTTTGCTGATATTAGCGACATTATTCACCGGAATTGTTTCAAATTTGGTATTTGAGATTCGTAATGGATGCTACAGCCTATGACAGAAAAATGTCTATGCAGGTCCAGGTCATCGTATAGGCCCCATATATCAGTACCTCCCTATATTCGGTATTTTGACGAGTTTAGGTACAATACCCACCGAAATTGTTTGAGATATCGTATTTGACGTTATAATGGATGGTATAGCCTGTAACAGAAAATTGTCTATGCTGGTCCAGGTCTTCCCTCAGCTCCGATATAATGGTACCTCCATATATACGATATTTTGATGATTTTAGCTACATTATTCACCGTTTATTTCAAGTTTCGAATTTGAATATGGTAATGGCTAATGGCAAGCAATGCCTATGTCGGTCCACGTCGTATAGACCCCAATATAACGGCAATATTCGGTATTTTTAAAATTTAACCGAATTTTTTAAGGATTTTATTTTTTTTTTGTTTAAATTTCCAAATTCGTTCCTAATGGTGGATGGTATTCAAAGTTTGGCCCGACCGAACTTACTGCTTTTTAATTTGTTATTGTTAAAACCAAACCCCTTTAAACATCTGCTTAGTAGCCACCTTTCATCGAAAACCTAATCTTTGGGTTTGCCAGCTTTCATTCGATCATTGTTTTACTTTTTTTCAAATCCAATATAAACAAGTAAGCAAAGGCTACAGTCGAGCGGGGTCGACCGTTGAATACCCTACAACACTGTAATAAACGATACAGTTTATATAGGCGAGATACTCGAAAGAATTCCACAAGATATTGTGACAAATAATAAAAGAAAACCATCAGGTTTCGTTCTCTAATTTTCGAATAATAGCAACTTAAACTAATTTGCTCATTTCAAATTTATTGGTAGATGTTGCACATAAATGGTCTTCCTAGATCTGGAACCAATATTTCCCAAAGACCTCTAATCTCTCAGAAGTGGCAAAAGATTAACATTTATTATTGGTTTTTGACTGAAACGCATCTATATGAGATACAGCCATTTGACTATTCTTCAACGAAAATAGGCGTTAACGAAATAGTCAAAAGTGTGTCTTTCCTGTATTTGTGAATTCTCCAAAAAGTCACTGGAATTGTCATTTTCGTATTTTGTCTACAAAAGTTGGCAAACTATTTCACACATTGAATATTTTTGGGATGGCCATCCAAAACTGCTCGGCTTTTGCAATGTCCGGTAACCCCCATACAAATGTGCGTGACGATCGGACGATAATTACGACCTGCTGACAAGTTTGCAGTTTTTTGGTCAATTTCAACCCCTAAATATATGGCGATCATCTCCAAAAAGATTAGGCTTCTATTCTGACCCTCATCTTATACCCAGGATCGGGCCATAAATGCGATCTGTATATGATATCCTGATATCCTAACTGCTTAGTTTTGTTAGCTGTAGAATATTACCAAATGTTTAATTCAAAATGAAAATATGCCAAAAATATGACA